CATTTTCGGGCGTTGTGCTCGAAGATGGTCGTCCAGAACGCTCGTCATCATGGACAGAGGTTCGGCCATTTTTAAAACATGAATGCCACATAAAAGTTTGTGAACTACCCATTGCGGACTCCCCAAATGCTTGCTTTAGCATTTCATAGGTTTCCGTAGCCGTTTTGGCGAGTCTTTGGCAAAATTTGATGCACACGCCATTCCGAAATCGCAGGAGGGTCGGTGTAATGCACTACCAAAACGCCCGTAACTAAGAAACAAATGCTAATTCGATGATGCCGGCTGGCAAACTGATTCACTATGAATGTAGGCCGCACCCCCTAAAGGCAGAAGCTCGTACTACATCCGGTTCGCCCTCTATTGACACAGTCTTTAAACTTTCCGATCGCACCTCGTTATATTGACTAAGGAGACTACTCTTACTTCGATAAAATCTGCACTACTACTACTACTACTACTACTACTTCTAAACTACTACCACTCTTACTGATACTAATAGGCTTGAAAGTAATGTTATCATGTTTAGGCTAGGCCTAAAACTGCAAGAAATAAGAAATTCTGACTAAAATTGTGTGATCAACTGCGCATTAGACCATAATTCCACCATACTAACCTGTAAGCTACGTAGCCCTACACTGCATTAAAAATTTACGTTAGATACAGTCTGTGAGACAAGAAATCAGCTCCTGTTAGTTACTTACACCCGAAACGCTTTGATTTTATTAAAAAAGGGAAATTACAATCCAAAAAGCAAGCTTACGTCTGCGAGATCACATGCAATTTGTGTGTGTGCGTATTCCCTTTCAACTATTGAATCAATTGCCCGATTTTCATCAAATTTATTAGAAGCCTTATACCACTGGACGCCACTTTAACCTTATATCATCCGATTCATTTCAATTACTAATAACAACCTGGTGCACGCAATACGTTGTAGGATTGTAGAGATATTTTCGCCATTTATTAGAGCCTACTCTATACGCTAGGGTCACTGTCGAAACACCTAAACTTCGAAAAATATGAAATATTGCTATATGAAAATCTTTGCTTCAGATTATATTTTATTCTGTTGCTTGAATGTAATCGATTTATAGGACTCGGAATCTGTTGAGTAGTGAAATAGGCTTTATAATTTCTATCCGAAACTCCTAGTACGAACCTAAGTACTTTGAATGAACTACTGATATAAATCCAGAAAACAATATGAAAAATTTCCTTTCTGAAACAAGAAAAACCCGTTATAGGTGATAGATGAATCCAGTTTACATCTTCCCACCCTTTTTACAAGCTCCATGTTAATATTATCCTTCATGCAAGCCTAGACCTTCCGATTAATTTCTTCCAACCAGATGTTATACTCGTTGCTGATGTGTATGCGTACTACATGCCCCGCCTATCTCATCCTTCTACATTTAATTTGATCCAGCCTGTACTACTCCGTGAAGAGTAGTTACAGATTATGGAGCTCCTCATCACGCAATTTCCTTCAGCCTCATTTCTCTACAACTTTCTCAGTTTCAAATACGGGTCTGCACCTTATTCTCAAGCACCATATATCTGTGTTCTTCCCTACTGTGAGAGACGAAGTTTCATGCCCATAGGCACAACAGCCTACAGTAATGACGGACTTTTTATTGCTTTCAATTGAAAATACCAGTATGTTACTGATTATTTAGTGTTCTGTCTGACGACAGGTTCATATGAACAGAATCCTTCCATCCTTTTCTCGGACTGGGACCTGTTCATATACGTTCTTGGCAGATAATCCAGAAGTGGTTTGCCATTGCCTTCTTCTGTGTGTATGGATTATGGAGTAATTGTTGGGATGCCACGGAGAAACCGGGGAAGCCCCCCGGAGGAAAACTCCGTGTTGCCTAGACCACGGCCTTGCCCAACACAAGTTATAAATTCGGGCACCGCCGGGAATTGAACCCGAGACCCCAGGATTACAAGGCCAGCGTTCTAACCGCTAGACCACCGTGGCACTGTTACTGATTAGGCCTTTAAAATTATAATTATTATTTTTATTTGAGGATAATTTTTGTAACTGAGCTACATGAACATAGATTTGTAGCCGGACATTTTTGAAGGAAGTTAGTTTAAAAACTTGAATTTTTAGAAGAACAATACGCTGGCTGCTCAGCGTGGTGGGAATTTCAGTGGAGGTGTTTTGGTTCCCTCCACACCCACGCCATAAACTGTTGGCGCCACTAGCGGTCATTTCGTCGTCAACAGCAGTCGCATTTAAGTGTCGCTGTGTATAACTAAAGATTTCAATAAAGTTTTATAAGTAGCTTTTACAAGAAATGTGTCACGTTAAATGCATCCCAGTATCCTTGAGAGGACCTCATGATTCTGCTGACCGAAGGTAGCTGATAAGAAGATAAGTGGAGTTCGGCTACAGATTCTGGGATGTACGTCCTAACCTCAAAGTTTAGCATCGCCGCCGTGTTTATGAGTTTAATTGTTAATTTCCAGAATGACAGGTATAATTCATAGACTTTTATAGGCCATTAAGATCCAATGGCTTTTCAATATGTCTTATGACCATTAAACTATAAGCTAAAGAATGTTTACTCGGCCACTGTATTGTTATTTATATTCTACAAAAATTACAGTCAGGCTACCTTAACAGAAGTTACACATCTATAAAAAATATACTTCAATTATCATGTACCAACATATATTTTTTTCATCGTCTATGGTCAACTTGACCGTCGTGACCCCTTTCGGGGTTTTCTTGCGAAAGTACCACGGTGGTTTCGCCTTGCCTTCCGTGGCCAGACTTTACCCACCAGACTGGAAGAGGAGACGCGGACAAACATCCATGCCTTGAGTGGGACTCGAACCTACGGTTGCAGCGGCCAGGCGCACGAGGTCCATGCCTCAGACCGCGTGACCACTCCGCGGGCCCAACATACATCCAGGATTCTAAATACCCAGTGGCACTAGTGTCGCTAACACTTCACAAGCCATACAGGCCTTCAAAGGCACAACGTTCATACCAAATTTCGTGCAGATCGGTTAACTGGTTCAAAAGTTGTAAGACAGTGATGCACACAGACAGCATGGAGTTCTCATAAGCATACATTTTTCCTTTCATTTTTCAGAAGATAAAGTAGGGTAAAGATACTTAGACATAAGGCCTACTTAAAAGTCGTAAATGAAATAAACTGTTCTGTTTTAATATTAGGCTGTATGAGAGAGATAGAGTGTAAAACAATTCTGTGACTAGTGAGATAATTACAGCTTACGGGGGCGGAAATAAATCGACACACGATATTACACTTCGTGCAAGATATAGGTTCTACTACAGAAAGCCTTTAGGATTTTTATACTCACATAACCGTCAGCAATTCTGCTATATGAATAATTCTGGAGATAGGCCTGTCTGCATCCACTGTGTGTCTGAAGTTTGTGTGAGTTTGGAAGTCTAGGCACATAACACCACTTAGTATAGAGGTTAGTGAAACTGTAGTTCCGCTTTTCCTGTAGAAATAAGACTTCACCTTTTCCAAGAACGTAACAAGACACCATTTTACGAATGCGAAACATCTTAAGCAGTTTGCAAGTTGTAATCCGACACTAGCACATCGCATGTAAAACGATAAAACTGCAGTAAAAACTTTTTCTATACCACCATTTGCGCATCCAGGCCTGCCAACTGTCGTAATGCTATAATTAAGAAATACAACATGCAGGTGACGATCGTCTGTTGTTTCGAGCGCGTTCTCCTTGCATAATGTGGCGAGTCGATTACAAAGAATGTCAGAGAACGTGTCTATTTTTGGTTATGTCTGTAAAGCTCCACAGATATGCGTGAGGTCGACATTACTCCATTTGCTCGTCACGGGTTACGTGTCAAAGAAATGTCACAACCGAAGTCATTGAAGTACGTACGGAAGGTGCATAATTAATTGATTGCAACGAATCTTTGTTCTAGCCTATAGTTACATCTAGCAGACGCCTTTAATCGCCTTGGCATATACTAGGATGAAAATGTTGTCTATGCTGCAAAGCGGGCTGCGGTGAAACAGCATGCTATTACGCTGTTGCCAAAGATGAGTTCATCAATATAGTTGATTGCTAAGATGAAATTGCACCTGGACCCTTCCTTCCCTCACAGATTATACTATCCCCTCCACTTAGAATACAGACCGAATGTGAAACTCCAAGCGTGACATCAAGGTTTCTCATTGGCTGGCGTGCGGTTAAAAGAGGGCACAAAGTGTTAGGAGGGAGGAACGGGAGGGGAAGGGATGTCGGCTGTTTTCTCTCTCTGAAAGAAGAAAAGAGGATAGTAGAAGTAGAGTTGGTCGCAGTAGAGAGTTGGTAGCTGTGTGGATAATATGTGTGAATTTGGTGCGTTGTGTTACCTTTCCCCACCCTGGATATATTTTGTTTAAATAATAGATTGCAGTACTTTATGGTGCAGTGTGTTTTGTTGTGTGTGTCTAAAAGTGCCTAGTGTAATAGTGTGTTTTGTTGTGTGTGTGTCTAAAAGTGCCTAGTGTAACAGAGTGATGGTGAAAGAAGTGAAAACGCTATGTAATTGCAGCGCTGTTTGGTAACTGCTGCTGCTGCTGCCACCGTGTCGCTGCCAATCTGACGGATTGCTTTTACACTGGATAACACTGCTCGCACGTAAGTTTCTAATACTCTTTACATTAATGGTGGTATAACAGTTAGGTAGAATATTTGTATAATTGTGCCGTCCTAGACCATATTTAAGTTGGTGTTTTATGTTTCACAGAAATAGAATACAGAAACGAGGATGGGGGGGAATACACGTGGAATATAATTCTTGTTTCAGTTACTGAAGCTTAGTAAATAGGTCTCTGTCTGGCATAAATCATTAAGTGGGCTACTAAAACATGTTTTAATGTCAGCAAAATATAAATTAACCGCAAATCTATTAACACGACACTAATTTATTTTATTTCTCTTAATTATTTTTCAATTTTAGTTAAAGATGAACTGAAATATAAATGTGGCAATCATCCTTTTCCAGGATTTCAATCTGCTCGTGTTTTTGTGCATGTTAAGAATGTGTATTATGATTATTACAGATGATCTGTAATCGAGAGCCTTCAGTTGCTTTTCAGTTTTAAAGTTGGCAGCGCTATCGGTGAACTCGGTTTTGTTATCGGTTACACACGAAAAAAAAAGCTATTAGTTTTCCATTTACGAAGACGTTCCCTTGTATTATATAAGCAATTTATGTTACAATTGGTCAATTTCTAACGTACGACGTACATTCTAAGCAACGCCTAAAACTGATTCAGCGTTAGATCAAACTGTATTTTGTAATAAAAGCGGAAAATCAGTTATTTATTTTTATTTCTCTGGAGTTGAGAAAACTTTAATGAGCCCGTTTTAGCGAGTTTCGTTTCACGAAGCGGAACCTTATCAAATATTTGCTCAGAGGTGACACAAATTCAAGCCCTCCTCTTTGAAATGTTCGTGATGCCTTGTCCCCAAATATATTTTTCTAACACAATTTACGTTAAAATAAAAATTTAATAATGAAAAGGAACTTTCGAGTGAAAAAGTAGGAAGGTGATTATAACATTTTAATTGTCAAATTTTTAAAATCATAATCTGAAATTAAATCTAGAAATACCCCTCCCGGTTGATCTAATGTACAGTCTGTTTCAGAACAGAATCCCCTACATGCCTACTTTGAGTATGGTTCTCTGCAAATTATCTCTCAAATTGTATTGCAAGTTCAGTGACAAACAAGAACATATTTGGCACTTCAGTGATTTGTTCCCTGGTCGATACAGCAAAAGGGTATTAAGGCATTACATTACAATACGGAGGAATGCTGCAGCTCAGTTCTATGTCTCTCTTGAAGGTTACATACCGTTATTTTCGGGCCTACTGTGAGTGCATTGTGAATGGGGGACAGCTTTGTGAGGTTGGCAGCCCTTGCTGTGTCGTCTGCCTGCCTGCCTGCCTGGTCCTAGAAAGGCATTGAGTAGGGAGGGAGGGTTGCAACCATAAAACTCGACTGCTGCGGCCCCTAGGAGAAGAGGGAAGTGTTCGTGGAGAGGGGAAGAGGTATTATTACAGGGGCCCGCTGTTTGTTATCGCGAGGGTCTACCTTCTGTCTCTGTCACTCTTGTAGCAGTTGTTCCTTTGTGGACCAGAAACTTGTTTACTGAGAATGCATCGTGGCCTCTACTCATGTTTTAATCGAGTATTTTTCAACGTAGGCCAGATTTTATTCCGGAAAGACGTTTCAAAAAATGACCGACTTTTGGAATGTTGCGCTGCATAGTCTGGTATAAATTTCTGTCGTTTGTTCTGATGATGTAGTCAGCAAGCACCTCTGAAAAGCCGGTAAACCTACCAGATCACACGGCACAACATCCCAGAAGACATATTCACACTTGCCGCCGTGAGAACCACAATTCTTACTAAATTACTGTTGACCTATGTAGTCTAACTGTTGTTTGTTATTATGTGTACTATGTTGCACCCATCCCAATCTTCCTGATTTTCAGCCCAAGAGAATGAATGCACTACGAATACATCATTGGTCTAATCTCCCCTGTTCTTCCGTGTACTTCCTCTTTCTCGGGCAGCCGGCAAACATTGCTCTCAGAACTTTCTCCTCAGTCAGTTTCGTGGCTAGGCTACAAACGTGACTACCGGGCTTTGATTCTCAGTAGGGGCTCTCGGTCCCACCCAGTCTCCTATCCGATGGATATTCGGGGCTATTTCCCTGGGGCTAAATCATATGGCGTCTGAAGCTGACCATTCATCTCCATCTGTTGCTGTGGGATGGAATGCGTGGACCCATACCCACAATCCTCCCTCCATACCTCTTTATGGCAAGATGATTAGTGAACGCCACGGTCAAAGCGCCACGTTGTTCTCAGACATCGTGAATCCATGTTATGAGGGTCTAAATTTCGTGCGAGTAGCCAATTATATGAGGAGGCAGAATTTACAAGCTGTTCTGCGTAGTTGAGCTTTTAGGATGGAATCTGTGCGTTTATCAAAAACGTTAGCATACACGACACAGCAACCCCGAAGAATACTTTTTGGAGGCTGTGTGCACATTGTAATGGAAATTGAAAATCACACAAGAACATCCAAGGATCTGACAACAAAATCATCTTACGTAAGAAATTCTTAAATCTTTGTGGCGTTGACGTATAGTAAGAAGGGAATTTTAAGAATAACGTTGGTAAATCGGAGTACCGGCTCGTGGGACTGTCGGCTGCTGCTGTCTAAAAGAAAACCACCACGTATACATGTCATTGACTTTAAAACAAGCAACAACCCCCATTTTTGTGTCGTTCTGTCAAACAACTCTGGATTTTGTTTTGTGCAGCTGGTGGAAAACAAAATTTCTCAAGGTATGCAAAATTGTTACGACCATTTCCTTACAGCCTTCGAAACCTCTGCGAATGGAAGTTACACGAACGTTTTGCAAGGTGGGGTCCTGGTTGAAAGTGAAGTGGAATATAATTTCACATTATACTTTATGGACTACTAGAGTAAAACTTTATTAAGTTTAAATGTTCGAAAGTACGAGATTTCCAGTGATATCTTTTCATGCTAGCCCAGTTATCACTCTGTGCTCACTTGATGGATATTTAGTTGAAGTCGTATTATAACGTTGCGGTTGCAGATTTTTCGAGTAAAAATATTGGAACACTGTTTTCATCACAGCTATTTAACCATTACAAGTGCAGTGGTAGGCCTACACATAGTACCCACCTCATTCTTTGAAATTAATTAGTAATTCAATATTTTGCTGACAGAATTAATTTTTATGATTCTCAGAATAAACAGCTATTATTTCTCTAAACAGCATTAACCAGCTAATTTTGAAATGAAGATTTGTAGTATTTTGTCTGAGGTAAGTACTGAATTTTTAAATGTCGTTTAGATTAGCTTCTGGATTTAGAGAATTAAATTAAATCTAATTTAACAGAGGTTATCTTATATTAAGACATTCCAGTGTGTTCCTTAATAATGTGTTGTAATTGTTACCTTCAACAGATTTGATCAAAATCTTAGACTGAGTGTTTTAAGATTTTAATCACGGTGGTCTAGCGGTTAGAACGCTGGCCTTATTATCCTGGGGTCTCGGGTTCGATTCCCGGCGGTGCCCGAATTTATAACTTGTGTTGGGCAAGGCCGTGGTCTAGGCAGCACGGAGGTTTCCTCCGGGAGCTTCCCCGGTTTCTCCGTGGCATCCCAACAATTACTCCATTCACACACAGAAGAAGGCAATGGCAAACCACTTCTGGATCATCTGCCAAGAACGTATATGAACAGGTCCCAGTCCGAGAAAAGGATGGAAGGATCCTGTTCATATAGACCTGTCGTCAGACAGAACACTAAATAAAAATAAAAGGATAATCAATGAGGGAAAGACATGTAGCGTGCACTGGGGAGGAATAAATACGTTTAACATTCTGGTTGGAAAACCTCAAGGAAAGAGACCACTCGGAAGACGTAGACGTAGATGGCAGTATAATAGTAAAACATATCTTGGGGAAACGGTGAGAGGATGTGGACTGGATTTATCTTTCTCTAGAAATGGACTGATGGCAAACCCTTGTAAACGTGGTAATAAACATTCGGGTTGCATAAAAAGCGGGTAATTACTTGACAAGTTGAGCGCGCTGTCAACTTCTCAAAGATGGGCTCTGTTACACAGTTAGTTAGAAAGTTTGTTACATTTTACAAAATCCCGTCATGTTATTGTACAGTATACAGTATATAACATACAGTCCACATCTGAACAGACTATTTATCTGAAAATGAGTTTAATATTGTCCTCTCCTCTGCATTTAGGTTTCGTAACTGAGGTCTTCCCTTCAGGTTTTCAGGCCAGAATTTTTACGTGCTACATGTATATTTAATCGTCCTTGGAAGTCTCTGCTCCGAGGAGGAAGTTAGTTAGCGATGTTGGCTGAAGGATACAATCTCTGATATCACGAATCCATTTTTATAAGATGAATCGCTTTTAATTGATAAAAAATTCATATAAGCTTAAATCGTAATTGGATGGACTCAGATCAATGTTTTGTGAGAATATGGCATAGTACGTAACCCGTTTCATCGAAATCCGTTGAACACTTCCCGAGATGAAAGATGCTATTACTGGGACGACCGTTCCATTTGGCATTGGACTTCTGCAAACAGCTAAATGCGAGTGAAATTTAGGGTTTTCACGGCGGCGAGTATGAAGATGACTGTCTACTGGGTTGCCTCCATCATCAGGACGATGATCTTCCTGTTGATGGGGCAGCACCTCTGAAACGTTGGTACAGTTCTATCAGACTACACGGCGCAACGTCGCTGAAGACAGACGTCTGCAGTTAAATGTGAAGTTGTCTCTGGCACTTTTAAACATCACGTTTTGAAAACGTCTGGACCCATTCTTAAACTCGGCACTAAATGCCACATGAGTCGTTATGTTCACATCCCTGCTACAAAAGAGTTCCTTGCGTGGACTGAAGAACAGACTGATGGGCGGACCCCAGAACCGGTTCAGACGCGGAACGAAGAAAGAAAACTTCTCCTACTGGGAATCGAACTCCAGCCGTTCAGCCTGCAGCCTGGTCACTTTACGGACCGAGAGGCTTCTTTCACACGTTACATATAAAAATAAATGT